CCGGCTCTCCCAGCTCAGAGGGGCTCCACGCACAGGCCATGGTGGGAAACAGGAGCCCAGGGGGCTGCACACACCCTGCCAGGGACTCAGCAGAGCCAAGGAGCCCGGGCAGGACAGAGAGACCAATGCTGTGATCAAACCAGAAGGAGGAGATGAACTGAGCGCCTGTGAAGTGAGAGCGCCCTTTCCAAACGCTCCATCAGTAAGGAGGCACATGGAGGTTACAAAAGGACAAACATCTTTACAGCCTCAGCCCTTCACAGCAGCGCTCAGCTCCACCCACGAGCTGCAGCACCTGCACAACCAGATGCTTCCCCCCTCAGTCTATGGACAGGTGTGCAGCCAGGATGCTGTCCCCATGTTCTGCTCTAACTCGACAGCATCAAGATGTGGGTTTTCTCCTCAAGACAGGCAGATTTCCCAGGACAAGATCCAGGTCACTGGGTCCAGACAGCTCCTCCAACCAGGAGCCACCTTGTTACCAGTCTAACCTATATAGGGATGCTGCAAAGGGGGAGACTCACAAGGCAAAAGCCCAAAGGCACCCCCACTTTGGAAGGAGACATGTGATAGCTGAGCCACACAGGGCATGTGTGGCTCAGCTATCCAGCTTCCCAGCTGGCTGGCCACAGACTCTGCGGAGGTGGGATTCACCGATGTCAGAGCAGAAGCTGTTTTAAACACAGACACTGAGCCTCCCAGTGGACCAGGGCTTTGGAGCCCAGTGGCTTTCCCATGATGAAAAGGCATAGCACAATGTCAGCCCTCACCATCTAAAGAGTCACAGCCACCCTCTGTTGCATAAGGACCCTGGCCCCATCGCATTGGGTGTTTGATCTGGCTATGGCATTGTTCCTGGGGAGGGGATGCTCACCCATCATCCTGTCAGACACCTCAGAGTGCCCCACAGAATCACAGAACCAATTAGGGAAAGACTTTTGAGCTCATTGACTCCAGCCTATGACCAAACACTGCCCTGTAAAGCAGATCATGGCCATCACAGCCATGTCCAATCTCTCCTTGAACACCTCCAGGGCAGTTGACTCCATCACCTGGAGTCCAGGAATGGAGAGTCCATTACAATGTCTAATCACCTCTTCTACGAAGAAATGCTTCCTGATGTCCAACCTAAACCTCCTCTGGCACAGCTTGAGGCTTTGGCCTCCTCTCCAGTCCCTGGCTGCCTGGGAGAAGAGATCAATCCCCATCTGGCTATACCTCCTGGGAGTTGCAGAGAGTGATAAGGTGCCCCCTGAGCCTCCTTTTTCTCCAAACAGCCCCAGCTCCCTCAGCCAATTCTCACAGGACTTGTGCTCCAGACCCTTCACCTGCTCCACTGCCCTTCTCTGGACTCACTCCAGCACCATAGTGTCCTTTTTAAGCTCCTCAGGGACTTGCTGTCCCTCCTGCCCCCACCAGTCCCACATGGAGCAGGGCACACCTCATGCAGGCAGGGCTCTTGAGATCCCTGCATTGCCCTGCATTCCCACTGCATGGCCCTGCTCCTCCAGTACCTTCCTGACACCTTCTCCTCACAATTCCCACCCTGGATCCAGCCCTCTCGGCCCTGCCAAGTGCTTGCAGGACCTTGAACCTCCTTCAGCAGAGAAGGGCAATGGAGCTGGGGATGAGAACCTGAGGAAGCTCAGGGTGTTCAGCCTGGAGGAGGCTAAAAGGGAGCCTTATCTTCTGTGACAGGAGGGTGTAGCCAGGTGGGAGGTCAGTCTCTCTTCCCTGGAAAAAAGTGACAGGACAAGAGGACAAAGCCTCAACCTGTGCCAGGAGAGGTTTTCGTTGGACATTAGGAAGATTTTTGTCACAGAAAGAGTGACTGGGCTTTGGAATGGCTGCCCAGGGAGGTGTGGAGTGACCATCCCTGAAGGTGTTTCTAAGACAGGACCTGGCACTCAGTGCCCATGGTCGGGTTGATGGCGTGGCGTCCACTCACAGGCTGGACTTGAGCTCAGGGGTCTTTTCCAACCTCATTCCCTCAGGGATTCTGCACCACCACAGCCCTCCAGCGCCGGGGTCCTGGGGGCCGCCAGGCCTGGGGGATGGGGCACGGGCCCTGCGCAGCCCCAGCCCCCGGCAGCATGCTGGGTGCCCCGGTGCCCTCAGAACCACCCACGGCCGCCGCGCAGCCCCGGCCGGGTCACGGCCCCCGCTCCGCGAGCCCCCGGAGCCGCGGGCGGCGGGGGAGGGGGCGCGCCCACGGACGGCCTGAGGCGCGGCTCCTCGGTGACGTAACGCCTTTCCAGAAGATTCCCCCCGGGGATCCCGCCGCTGCTCGCGGGCGCTCGGCCAATCAGAGAGCGCCGAAAGGGCGGTGCTGGCTTGAACTGACCAATGGAAGGCGGCGACTGCGCGGCAAGGGGGGGAGAGACGGGCAGGTGAGCGGCGGGGGCCCGCCTTCGCCCCGCCTCCCTTTCAGAGAAGACCAATCAGCGCGGCGCGGTGCGGCGATGGACAGCCCCCCGGGCCAACGGGGGCGTGGCGCGCGCGGGCGGGACTCCCCTGACGTGGCGGCCGGGGGGCGGGGGCGGGGGCGGCCCAGCGAGCGCGCGGCGCCCCGGGACAGCGGGAGCGGTGAGTGCCGGGGGGGCCCCCCCGACCGCCCCCGCACCCCCACAGCGACCCCCGCAGCCCGGCCCGGCCCGGGGGCCAGCCCGCCTGCCTGCGGGGTGCCAGGGCGGCACTGCGGGACTGCCAAGGGGTGACAAGTTGTTGCCGAGGGGCAGGGAGGAGTCAGCCCCCGTGCCCCACAGAGCGAAGCGGCTCGGCGTGGGTGGGGGGGATCATGTCACCCCGGTGTCACTGTGGGGTGGGGCCGTGGGGTGACAGGGTGTTGCCGTGGGGCTGGGCGGAGGTCAGTCCCCCCCAGCCCGGGGTGACAGGGTGCCCCTGTGGGATCGGCGGGGGGTGACAAAGGGTCACCCTGGGGTGGGGGGCAGTGCCCCTGTCTGGGGTTAGCAGCGTGTCGCTGTGGGGTCAGTCCCCCTGCCCTGGGGGTGACAGGGGTTGCTGTGGGACTCAGCCGTCAGTGTCCTGCGCCGTGCGTGACAAGTTGTTGCCATGAAATTGGGGGGTCGTCAGTCCCCTTGCCCTGTGGGGATGGTGGAATGTCACTGTGGGGCTGGGGAGGGTCAGTTCCCCGGCCCCGAGGAGTGACAGGGTGTCACTGCGGGGCTGACTGGCCCCTCTGCCCATGGGGTGACAGCATGTCCCTATAGGGCTGGGAGGGGGTGCTTGCCCCACTCCATCCACGGGGTGACAGTCTGTCCTGCTCTGGGGGCTAAACCTCTGCTTTATGAAGTGGCAGGGTGTCCCCAGGGCCTGGCAGGATCGGCCTCTCTGCCCCAATGGGTGACAGGGTTTGGCAGTGGGTCTGAGAGCTTAGCCCCTTTGCCCCTTCGTGGGTGGGGAGCAGAGGGTAGCCAGCCTGTTCTGCCACCATGGGGTGACACGGAGTTTCTATGGGGCTGAAGGTGGGGGAGGAAGGAGTTGTCGTCTCTGGCTCCTGTGGGCTGTCAGGGTTTCTTGGTGGGGCTGTGGGTCAGGGTTAACTGGGTTAACTGCCCTACCTGGTGACCATGTGTCCCTGCGGGCCTGAAGAGTGTGTCAGGAAGGGGTTAACCCCCGTGCCCCATAACAGAGATAGTGCATCCAGGTGGGGCAGGGAGAGAGAGGGTGACCCCCCCCTGCCATGGGGCTGCGGTACAGCCCTGTGGAGCTGGAGAGGCTGGTGAGGTTAGGGTTAATCCCTCTCTCCTGTTTCACTTTGGAGGGAATAATGTGCTCTGTTTGAGCTATGTGGTGTGGCCTGGAAGGGGTCAGCACCCCTCCACCATCGCCCTGGGGGTACCTGTGTATCCCAGTGGGGCTGAACTGGCTGGTGAGAGAGTTGGTAACCTCCCACCCAGTGACAGTAACACGGTTAGAGGGACCAGCATGGAAGGGGTTAACCCCTGTCCTCAGTCGAGGTGACAGTGTCTACTGGGAGGGCTGACCAGGAGGAAAGGGTTAACCTGCTTTCCTCTTGAGGCAGACACTGGGTCCCAGTGGGGCTTGATCATGACAGGGGGTCACCCCTGGACCCTGTGGGTCTGTGCTCTGGGGCACAAGGCATGAGTGAACCCCTGTGTGTGTGACAGCCCCTAAAAAGGATAGCGCCTCTGGGCTCGGGAGGGGGACAAACCCCATCCCCCTGCAGTTCTTAGCCCCACAGTGGGGCTGGGGTGGTGGTCCGTGCACTGGGGGGGTTCAAACCCATCCCCATGCCATTGTGAGCATCCTGGTGACTCTGGAATTGGGGTACCCTACACGGGGAGGCAGCATGGGGGGCTTGACCCTATCTCCACACAGCTGTGAGCAGCCGAGTGTGGCTGGAAAGAGAGGAACATACTTGGGGAGACACTATGAGGGGCTTGACCTCATCTCCAGCCAAGAGCCAGCACCAGATAGGTCTGGAAAATGGGGGACCCTGTCGGGGGTGATCTCAGGTGGTACTTGACACCATCCCCACGCAGGAGACAGCACTTGGTGGCTGTGGGGATCTGGGACCCTCTCTGGGGACATTGTGAGCGGGGGTCCTGCTCCGTGCCCACGCAGGAGGCGGCCGCCGGCGGGGCTGGCAGCGGGGGCTGTGCTGGCAGAGGCAGCGAGGGGAGGGTTAACCCCGTCCCCACGCAGGTGCCGGCACCCCAGTGGGGCTGTCGGTGGGGAGGGGGAGGCGGGCGGTGCGTGTGGGGGCTCGGGGAGGGGATGATTCATTGCGGGTAGTCATGACATTGCTGCCTGGTTGCCTGAGACTGCCATCCAGCACGGGCACGGGTGCCTCTGCTTGCCCCGGCGCGACAAGATCCCCAGCAGCTCTCTGACTGAGCCCGGGATACGCTACCATGCCGGCAATCCTGCTCTTCTGGAGCCGCGCCGAGAGGTATGCGCTGCCTCGGCACCCGCGCCGGGCCGGACCCCGCCGGCTCGGAGCCCGGCGGGACTCCAGCCCCTGGGGACACGGCGGGTTGGGGCTGTCGCCCGCCCGGCTGCTTCGCTTGCCGCGGGTGGGATGCAGGAGCTGCCCTGGCGGTACCCCCGGTACGGCTGCCTAGTTTCGGTGTAGAGCTTCTGGAGAGGATGCTCTCCGTGGCCTGCGAGTGACGGTGACAGACGAGGGGACGCGGTGGCATTAGCTTTCTTTGGCGTGCCTGAAGGTGACTTCTCAGAAGTAGGTTTTGCGCCGTGGGCTCGGGGGACGCACCGTCCCCGTCCCGCTGCCCTGCCGCCACGGGGAGCCCGGGACGCCGGGCGGGAATGCGGCGCTCAAATCCCTTTCGGCCGGGGGACCGGTGCCGGCGGCCGGTGCGGGGGACACAGGGACCCCCATGCATCCGAACGGGAAAAGCTGGGGAGGTGCACATTGGTTAACGTGACTTTTTTCCATATCAACGCCGCCCTACTTTTCTCCCTACCCGATTCGCCTGGCGGGTGCTCAGCCCTGGGCGTCAGCAGAGTCGTTTCTGGGGACACCGGGGGGCTCCTGGCTGCGCTCCCTGCGCTCCTTGGAGGGGGCTGCGTGGGGGACGTGACGGTACCAGGCGGCCGGGTGCCTTGTGGCAGCGGAGAAGAGGAATGCTGGAACTGACGGATTAAGTAGAAGTGTCTTAATCTGTCCGTTTAACGAGAAAGCGTCAAGAAACCAATTAAAAGGAAAATTACGGCGCGGCGAGTGACTCCATTGAAGGGTCTCTCCGTGCGCGGCTGGGAAGCACACAAAGGACGGCAGCTCCCCGGCGGCACCGCGTCCACCGGAGGAGCCCTTTCGGAGCCATCCTGGGAGCGAGGTCAGAGCCAACCACGGCTGCCGGGCTGGCGAAGAGCTGCCCTTTGGGTGTGCCGGAGGAGCTGGAGGGGGGGACTCGCCAGCAGAGCATCCCTTGGCGGCGGCGGCATCCCCGGCACGAGCCAGCACCTTTTGCCCCGCCACCCTCCTCCCGCCCTCCGGTGCCTCCCGGCCGGGCACACAGCACCTGCCGCCGCCTGCGGACAGCCGCGATGTTTAAAATAAAGCTAGAGCCTTTAAAAATGACAGCCTGGACTATGAATGTGTTCGTAAAGTTTCGGTAAGTGGGTTTCCGCCTCTCGACCTTGTGTAATCGTTAAACCATCAGTGCCTGTCCCTGGCATCCCGCGGTGACCTTGCACCCCGAGATGGGGCAAAAAAAAATCTTGTGCCGTTGCCAGGATGGGTTTGTTCTCTTAGATGACTGCCGAGCAGAGGGATTATGTCAAACGATTGCTATTCAGCTGGCACGCTAGCCCAGCGGTTGCTCGGGCTGATGTCATGTGTGGGGCCGGAACAAAGATTTATTCTTTATTTAATTATTTTTTTTCTTTTGGTAGGGTTGCAAGAGGAGGATGGAGGTTAGGCTGGCTCGGCAGGGCAGGGGAATGCCTGTGGTTTTCACCAAGGCAGGGTGGCCGTGAATTATCTGGGGGCATCTGATCTGCAAGGGTGATACAGGAATGCCTTTGCCTGCCTGAAACCCCCCCTACCGCTCCCGAGGGGGTTAATGGGAAGTCAGGAGAGGATGACTGAGCAGAAGGGGGAGAAGATCGGTGGCAAGGCGCAGCTGATCCCAGAGAGGTGGGAGGGAAGGAGGGAGGCTCTGCGGGGACAGAGTCGTGTTTTACCACCATTGTGCATGTGAGCTGAGCCTCGGGAGTGTGCCTTAACCCACCGGGTCACCCTCCAGCACCTGGTCCTCTCTGGCACGGTAAACGCGGCACCGGGATGCATTTCGGTACAGAAATTCCCTTCCCCATGCCCAGCCAGACGAAGGGGTCCTTGGTCAGGTCAGAGATCCTATCAGGCATCCCCACCCTGGCCAAAGACCTCTCGGTGGGCAAGACCAGAGATCTTGTGGGTAGCGACAGAATTTTGCATTTTTGGGATGTCTTTTCATGGGAAACACTGTGGAGTTTTGGCTGGATGAGGGTGTCCCAGTGGTGCTGTCAGGTTGGGCTGTGTGGGGTCAGAGCCAGACACTGAGGTCCCTGGGCAGTGAGAGCTGAAGGTTTGTCAGCTCTGTGTTGCTGGAGCTAGACTGTGATGGGGTTGTCTTTAGCACTGCTTCGTTTGCTCTCGCTGTGGGAGGGTCAGCAGCAGGGCCAGACAGGGCCAAATCATCATCCCAGTACCAGCCTCAGGGAGCCCCTTCCCTCCACTGGAGGTTGCTGTGGGGATGTGGGGTATTGGAGTGACCTTTGGTGTGGAGAATGGACAGGATAGCTCTTGGTTCTCCTGCTGGTTGCTCACACCAGGTCTCCTGCAGCTTCCCCAGCACTTAGGGAGGGTAAATGGGGAGGTGGATGTGGGCTGGGGGCAGAGCATCCCCCAGCACCTGTGTGGGCTGGGTGCTGCTGGCATCTCTGCATGCAGGAGCTGGTATAGAAATGTGCTGGCATCCGGGAGCTGCCACAGGAGACGCTGTCAGATGCTCTTTATGCCCCCAGGGACCTCCTCCCACCTCTTCTGTGCCGCCTGAGCTGTTGTACAGTGTTTGCAGATGCCCCCATCTCCCTTCACTGTGTCCTTCAGGGGTGCCTTAGCCCCCCTCCCCATCTACAGCAAAGCTTCTCCTCCACAGCTGGAGCAAAAAAGAGCAGAAGTTGGTGGTTTGGATGGAGGTGGCCAAATGTGGGACCAATTTCCAAGCTCCTGTAGGGGGTCATTGCCCAGGGCATGGCCCAAGGCAATTGTTGGATGCTTGATGTGGCTGCCAGATGCTTAGAGCGGCACCCAAGCATGGATCCTTGGGGAGCATAGGCACCCTTGATTGAGCTGTGGTGGTTGGGAGATTCCTCTGTGACCTCCAATGGGAGCTCATGGACAGAGAGTAAGGTTGGGGAGAACATCTGGTAGCTTGTATGATGGTGAAGGTAAGGGCCAAAACTCACACCCCATGCCATAATCCCTCTGCTGGAGGGGCACAGTGGGTTGGGGTGGCTCAGGTGTCTGTGGAGCAAGTACAGGGTGAAACTGAACTGTAGCAGGGAGCAGGATGTGAGCAGTGGGAGTGCAAGGGCAGCCCCTGGGAGAAGCAGGGTCAGCACTGAGTGTGAGAGGGGCCAGGCCAGACCCTGCAGTTCGAGGTGTCAAGTGTTTGCTGTCAGATAGCCAAAAGTTAAGGAGAAGTGGGAAACATCCATGGAGAGGCATGGGACCTGTTAGCTTCTGCCTGGAGGAGCAGCCCTGCCACCCCCCTGGCTGCTCCCTGGGTGGCTGTGGCTCCAGTGGTGACTGGGGGATGAATTACGGCCACCGGGTTTTCCATGCCTTAGTATAGGCATGGGCACGGACTCAGCCCCCGCGCGATGCAGCGAGTGAGCCCTGAGCTCCTGCCTTACTGCAAGATCCAGCTGGGGAGTGCAAGTCAGGCTAGAAAGTGTTGGGGTTTTTTTTAAAACAGAAAAAGAAAAAAGCCCTCCCACCATCACAAGATGTTTCTGTCTAACGGCTCCGTTCCCTCTCCGCTAAATACAAATTATGGCTCTGACAGCCGGAGGCGCTTATCTCCAGCTGAATGCCAATTGCTTTCAGGAACAAAATGTTTGAAGTTCCTCTAAGGTGAAGGCACAATGTGGTCCCTGCCACTGCTTTCAGCCTCCAAAACCTGCTGTCATCACCCTCACTTGGGTCTCAGGTCCCCAGCTGGGAGAGAACCAGGCAAGGGGGTGGACACAGGCCGGCAGCTACATTTGGACATAGCTCAGCCCTCCTGACTCAGCCGGGGGGGACGGACAGGGACGTGGTCCTGGCCTGACGTTAGCAGTGGCGTGGCCCCTATAATAGCACCGTGCCCCGACTTGAGCTCTCTCTCCCTGTCAGCCTCAGAGATGAGTCTGCCCGTCCCAGCCGAGGGGCTCAGCGGGATAAAACCACAGCTGGGATACATTCTGGCACCGGGGCTCTGACCTCTGTTGGGAAGCGTGGACTTGAGCCGGCTCTGGTGCTGCTGGCCCGTGGGACACAGGGAGCATCGTCTCCGCGATAAGTGTGTGCCAGTCCCGTCCCCAGCTGCCCCTGTGTGATTTTCACCTCACGAAGAGCTGTCTTTCTCCTTTCAGGAATAAGTACTCGGCTCCCAGCAGCGTTGCCATCATGGGGAAGGACTACTACAAGATTTTGGGCATCCAGAGCGGTGCCAACGAAGATGAAATCAAGAAGGCCTATCGGAAAATGGCCCTGAAATATCACCCTGATAAGAATAAAGACCCCAACGCTGAGGAGAAGTTCAAGGAGATCGCGGAGGCTTATGACGTCCTGAGTGACCCCAAGAAACGAGCTGTGTACGACCAGTATGGGGAGGAAGGTAAGGGTAGGCACTGCCCACTGGGAGGCAGGGATGTGGGGTCCAAATCTGTTTTAGAGGTGAGGGAGGGTTTTCACAGAGAGATGTTTCAGTATTTCATGCCTACTCCTGAAATGGGACTGGTTGCCAAAGAATCAGAGAGAGTGAAGGCTCCACAGGTGGCAGAAATCACCTCTCATCCCACTCCTCCCCAGGCTGCTTCACTTTTACAGCAATTTGTCAGCTTGCTTCCTGGGGTGGCTGGGCTCCTCCTGCCCTCTGCCCCAGAACTTTGGGCGCCAGCTGAGAAATTCAAGGAGCTCACCTCCTGGGTTGTACCTAAGGTAGTTTGTTAGCAGCTCTTTAAATGACCTAAATAACACAGCAGAGACGTACTGCTTCTGCCCACACTCCCCCTGCACTTGGGCACTGGTCCCACTGTCCTCCCTGGTACAGGCTGACCTAGAGGATTCAAAGCTTTTCCCAATTTAAGTAATAGGCCCTTGTTTTGAAACCAAGCGGCTGCTGTTGTCTGGTGGTTGGCATGGAGGAGGAGGAGGAGGAGGAGAGCCGCTCCAAGGCAGGCGGCCTTATTAGTCGATGATGGAAGAGTGCAGCCCCATTCGAGGAGAGTGCCGAATAGCATCTGCATTAATCAGCCCAGGGCCTGGGTGCTTAAAAGAGCAGGAGGTCTGGCAGGAGCAGGCTGCTGGGTGGAAGAGGCAGCTCCTCTCTCAGGCAGGTGCATCCCCTCACAAGCCACCGGCGGGATTAAACAGCAGTGGGTTAATTGTTGACCCGTTAGTTATGTCAGGGCTGTGATGGATGCACAGGACACAGTGATTTGCTGCCCTGTAAAATGAGAAGAGACTCTCTCAAGTGGGAAACCAGCTTTTCCCGGGAGGCCTCAATGAAATCGGACCCTGCTCAGGCTGGCGTCATGGGATTAAAGGTGAAACCTCCTGGCTGTACAGTCTATTAGGAGTGGGGCTCACTGGGGATTTGGCAAAATCCCTGTCGCCTGCAGGCATCTAAAATAAGAGTGAATTAAGGAAGAGGGTAAGAGCTCCCTTGCTGCCCCATCAAGTTAAAGACCAAGTTCCCCCATGTCCCATCTTTGTTGAACCTCTCATGTTCCATGACCTTCCCCACATGTTTTGCTTCCCATTTTTTTTTGGGCAATGAAGGTCAACATTTTGAGGAGCTTCAGGGTCATACATGCTTTGTGGGCAAGGTGAAGTGGGAAAGCCCCTTCAGCCCAGCCAGAATACCGACTTCAGCACTCAGAAGAGACCCCCAACTTGTCCTGCTGTGGACAGAGCATGGGGGGTTGGGACAAAGGACAGCCTGTCAGAAATAGTCCTTCACTGTCGCTGGTGTGCCCTGAAAATAGTCCCTGAGCTAGGCTTGGCTTAACCCTTCCCAACCCTGCTGATCAAAAATAGCCTTGCAGAGCATGTGTGACCTCTTTGGGGGGCATTTGTCATGTGCCTTGACTCTTTGGGACTTGGGATGAGTTGCTGTGACGTCGGGCTCAGCCTGGGACCTGGCAGGGGAGTTTCCTATGGGAAAGGTTGCTAAATGATTCAAACCTGGAGCTTACCTGGCATTTTTTACAGCCAGTGTGTAGGGAGCTGCATGCCCACCTGGAGGTCTGCTCACCTGCACCTGCCTGTAGAGTCATTGAGGGTGGAGAAGATCTCTGAGATCATTTAATGAAGCAGTGCCATGTTCATCACTAAGCCATGTCCCTAAGTGCCACATCCACACACCTTTTGAACACTTCCAAGAATGGTGGCTCTATCACTTCCCTAGGCAGCCTGTTCCTGACCAACTTTTCTGTGAAGCAATTTTTCCTAATATCCAGTCTCAGAGATTAGACTATTGGGGTTGGAAGGAGCCTGCTCACGGGGAACAATGGAGATGGACTGATCAGGATATGTTTTAAATTAAAATTAGGTTAATAGGGTGGAGAGAATCAAAGAGGTCCTTCAGTAGGGATAGAGGGAATGAAACCTGAATGGATTCTGAGCTTGTAGGGTGTAGGAGTGGGACTGTGTGAGATGGTGCCTTCACAGTGGTTGGGCTGGAGGTGGTCTGCACATTTAGGACAGGGTGGAAGGAGGTGGCAGAGGCCATTCTCCCACCTGGGCAGTGCAGTCCCTGCAGAGCATTTTCCCACAGGGAGCGTTCATGTCTCCTCTTCCCCCTTGTCTTCCAGGTCTCAAAACTGGAGGTGGCTCTTCAGGTGGCTCAGGGAACACCTTCCACTACACCTTCCATGGAGATCCCCATGCCACCTTCGCATCCTTCTTCGGAGGCTCCAACCCTTTCGACATCTTCTTCGCCAGCAGCCGCTCCCGGATGTTCAATGGCTTTGACCAGGAAGACATGGATATGGATGATGACGACGACCCTTTCAGTGCCTTTGGCCGGTTCGGCTTCAACGGCATTAATGGGGTTCACCGGCGGCACCAGGAGTCCCTGCACACACGGAGGAAGGTCCAGGACCCACCTGTCATTCACGAGCTCAAGGTGTCCCTGGAAGAGATCTACCACGGATCCACCAAGAGGATGAAGATCACTCGCAGAAGGCTCAACGCTGATGGCCGGACCATGCGGACTGAGGACAAGATCCTCAACATTGTCATCAAACGGGGTTGGAAGGAGGGAACCAAAATCACCTTCCCCAAAGAAGGGGATGCCACTCCAGACAACATCCCTGCAGACATCGTCTTCATCCTCAAGGACAAGCCTCACTCGCACTTCAAGAGGGACGGGACAAACGTGATCTACACGGCAAACATCAGTCTTAAAGAGGTGGGTACAGGTGGTAAATCCCATGGGATGTGGGGTGGCACTGGTTCATGGCCTCTGGGGCCAAAATGGGAGGCAGTCCTTGTCCTGCTCTGGATAGGAAAGACCAGGTAGGTCGCAAGACAAGAGCTGCAGAGGCCAACTTGGTCTTGGCTTTGGAGGTGCTTGACTTCCATGCCAGGTGTGGGACACTGATGCTGCAGTCCCTGCGGAACACACCTCACTTCTTGAGCCAATTCAGGTGGCTCATCTTATCCATTTCCTCCCTTCTCCATATGTCTTGTTCTTCTATTTTAGCATAGGGTATTCACATGTGGAGCAAAGGGCACATCCTCTGTAGGAGCAAGAGAAAACTTGATGGATGGCATCAGTCTGATTCCTGCTCTTCCTATAGCTGAGCCTGCTGTGGCTTAGTTACTGCCTAGGGTTGCACCAGGTGCCTCTGCCCATGCGCAGAGAGCAGGGTGACATGGAGGAAAGTGATCCCTTGCCCTCCCTGAGCAGTGCTTTAGCTGTTTTCCTTGATTCTGGCTTTCCTAGATGAGCAACCAAACAAATTAAATACCCAGGCAGTGAGTAAAACTCAACACTTCCAGGCTGCCAGTCCTGGAGGTCACGGCAGGGCTACATGGATGCAACAGATCATCCAGCAATCTGCACGAAGGTGGGAGAGGAAAGGGAAGATTACCTCAGTACAAGATGTGCTGTTCGCCACTGCTGCTGTAAAACTACCTTTTAATAAATCCCAGCTGGCAGCTGCATTTAACGTTGACATTTTTGGCAGCTGCCATTTGCTGTTCCTTTCAGACGGTAGACGCTGTCTGTCTTCTTAATGAGCTGATTTTTTTTTTCCTTCCCGAAGGCAGATTTATGTTCTCAAATGCATTGAATAGAAATAAGCTCAATGGGCCAGACCTGAGGCAGGAAAACGTGATCTTGTGAAGTGTGCCAGGAAGTCAGGAGGGCTCTGTGACGGCTCTGCATCCCAGTTCAGGCTGTGACCTGGGTGTACTGGGGGCAAAAAGCACATGGGCCAGGCAGAGCTGGGCACTCCTGAGGCAAACTCAGCTCCACTGATACTGCAGACTCAGGAGTTTCCCTCACAGTGCAAAGTGCAGAGGTTTATTCCTGCAGTAGCTGGTTCTCCTGGATCTCCAGTCCAGAAATACTCAGGAGAGACTGCCTTATTTATGGAGCAGTGCATGCCTTATCTCAGATATTTCCTTCTGATCATTCCTTTTATCTGACCTGGCTGTGCTGATGCCCAGACCATGTTAGCCCAAGTCTGTTCACTGGCCGGGGTGGAGGGACTCCTGCCTGGAGTTGACTTTTTGAGCAGCAACTGGAGAAACGTGCTCGAGAAGTGCGCCAGAAGTGTTGGACACCTGTAACCTCCATGAGCAAGGCCTGCTTGCTGGCAGTAGATTTGCACAATGTAGACACAAAGCAGAAAATTTATGGTTCAGGCAATTCCTTATCTCTCTCAGCTGGAATTTCTGGTCTCTGACCTCCCCCAGTACAAACCCAACAGGCTGGACATCCTCATGGGGCTGCTGGTCTGGCTGACTGTCCCCAGCCTGCTGCTTGCCAGGACACTGTGATACTCTGCTGCGCTTGTCTTCCAGGAAAAGAAGTTCCTTAAGTGCTCTGGAGCACGAGCAGATACTGGGAGCTCTCCAATTCTGTATGCTGCCACCTCAGTATGTGACAGAGCACAACTTCTCCATCTCCTCAGCCTCTGGCTGTAGCCTTAGGTGTCTTCTTGCACCTTCTGCCTTGAAACGCTGCCTCTTCTAGCCTGAGTTTTAGTCTCTGCCACTGTATTGAGAGAACATAGTGCCATCAGGAGAGCTGGCAGGTGATGGGTACTGGAGGGCCTTCCCAGCCCTTGAGCCCTGGCCCTGCTGGGTTCCTGGCTGGGGCAGTGCAGGCGTTTTGCCACCTGTCGGCTGCAGAATCACAGATGTAGGAGTGCTTTTCCGGGGACTCGCTCTCTTCCTTCCCAAAACCAGAGGCGCGTGCCGCAGTGGGGAGCTGCGGGAGGGCGGAGAAGCACAGCTCCACCAGCAGCTGCCTCTCCTGGAGGCAGCGCTGCCGGCAGGGCGTCCTGCCCTCCTGGCTGCTGCCTAATGCCTGCCCTGGGCACCATCCCGCTTTGCATCCTTTACCTGGCGTCACCTTCCTCGAAGCATCCGCGCCCCGGCTCATCCCGGCTGGGACGCGGCCGGTGCCGACGCCCGCCCCAGCAGCTTCGCCGCGAGCGGAGGAGGACCCAGGGTTGACCTAGATAAAGCTCTGCTCGCACAGCACGGTGCTCAAACCCAGGGTGATTTCATCCTCAGGGATAAACCAAGCCTCTTTCTAGGATGCGGGGTAGCTCCCCCAGTTACTGGTGTTACTTCAGCAACTGTTTTCCCAAATGCCAGCAAAGTTGAGCAAGAAGAATGAAAAACAGGGACATACGGCGGAGGAGCGATCGCCTCGGATTCTTGCGTCTTGGCTCTGGGAAGGAAACATTAAGATCCCGTCTGCCTTCGCTGTTACCGCCCGCTTCTGCTCACATCTCTGCCTGCTTTCCCCATCCACGTGTTCCCACAGGGACTTCTTGTTCTCCTTTCTGTTTTATGGCTGGAGGTGTCCTTTCTTGGCGCACATGGGCACTTGCAGCCATGGCACACTGCACTGGGCACCAGCGAGCAGGAGGGCTTTGGCATCCATGCCTGAATGCACAGCACAAACTCCTTAATGTGGGGAGATTGTGCTTTGTTTTCCCCTCAATCTGCTGGAGATCAGCCAAGCACCTGCTGCTCACACAGAGCTGGTGATGGCATCCTCCTGCAGGCTGAAGACTTCATCCCTGGAGGACACCCTCTCCAGGAGGAGGCCTGTGCAGATGAGCCATGCAAAGGAGATAGGACCTTCTCCCCTGTTCTCCACTCAACAAAGACCCTGAACCAGCTCTGGCGCAGATCCCAGTGCAAGCCCTCTGGTTCAAAGCCTTGGTTCTGCTGCAGAAGCCCCATCCATCATCTCAGAGCCAGTGGCCAGCATGAGGTGTTTCTCCTGGTGCCTGTTGCTGCTCTGCCTTTGGAGGCTTTTCCTGGCAGAGGGGGGGAGTGCAGAACATTCCCCCGCCTACCCCAGAAACAGCAATTGCATCTTTCTCCACTCGCCTTGCAGGGTGTTTTGGGAGGGCTGGGACCCCCAGGACCCAGTTCAGAGGGACAGACCTGTGCTATTCCCCACATGGAAGCTCGAGGCTGTAGCTCAGAAAGCCCCCAGCCCCCACCCCCTTCCAGAAGCATCGTTCCGCAGTCCTCTCGCTCAGCCCTTGCTGAAAGCCTGGAAACGATCCTGCCCACATGTACGACAGAGCTGTCTGAGTTATTTAAGGACACAAGGATTTTCTTGCTGCATTCCTGCATCACGTGGCTTGCCAATGCAGGCCGGTGTGCGGCTGCTGCTGGGGGCTGGGGTGCCGAGGGGTGGCACCCCCACACCGGCTCCTGGCTGTGTGAGGGGACAGGAGATGGGAACCAGTCCCTCCAGCCCCCCAGCTCCCAGGGAAGCCCAGTGCCACAGCCATACCATTGTGCCATGCTGGCGTAGCCCTGTGGGGGCTGTGGGTGACAGGGATGGGACAGGGGACAGGGGACATGGGCTGTTGTGCTATAGATAACCCCGAGCACCGGGCAAAGCTGCCGTGCTCCGGAGGGTGACAGCTGACGGGCTGTGGCAGCATCCCATGATCTCAGCTGGATTTTCGGCTGCCTGCGGCTGGCCGACAGGGCTGGAAAGGAGCTAAATTTAGCCTGCGTTGTTGCTGTGGGTGGCTGGGTGCTGGTGGTGCCTTCTGGGCAGCCCAGCAGGTGGGGAGGGGAGTCCTTCCCCCCATGAGAGCTGGGGCACCCCTCTCCTGCACAGCTCCTGCAGCCCAGTTCATGGTGGTTGGACCAGGCTGGTGCCAGCAGAGAGCTGTGCTTGCACTGGTGAGCATCATCTCATGCTCTTGAACAGCATCCAGAGGAGCAGGGCAGTTCAACCGGGGGAGCAGCCAGTGGGGTACAGGGTGTGGCTGTCAGGATGCTTTGGGGAGTCAGCCCCATCTGATGGCCTGTTCCCTCTTCCTTCCTCAGGCCTTGTGCGGCTGCACTGTGAACATTCCCACCATCGATGGACGGGTGATCCCGCTCCCCTGCAACGACATCATCAAGCCAGGGACAGTGAAGAGACTACGTGGGGAGGGGCTGCCCTTCCCCAAGGCCCCCAGCCAGCGAGGAGACTTGATCGTGGAGTTCAAAATCCGCTTCCCGGACAGAATAGCTCCCCAGACGAGACAGATCCTCAAGCAGCACCTCCCATGCTCCTAGAGCCCAGGGACTCTCCTCCAAAGCAGCAATACTCCAAACGCATGTGCCACAGCACCTGGCCTGCACAGAGCCAAGGTGTCACAGCACTTTTAAATGCAAAAAAAGAGAAAAAAACAACCCCTCACACTACTTCTCTCCCCCAAAAAACCCATCCGACCCACCCCCTGTCCATCCTTCTTGGCCGGTTTTTTACTCCAACAACGGGGAGACTCCTGTCTGCCACAGCTCCCCCAACTGCCAAACCTTTTCCTTCTCCCCAGAGGTCCATTTTTTCTGCCTCGCAAGAGCGAGAGCTGTGGGCCCTTTGCCCAGGGAGGTGCGTCGTGTCGTGGGTTTTTTATGTCACCTGCTTTTCAGGCCACTCTTCCCACAAGAAGCTGGACTTGCCGGGGTCCGGCGCTGTGTAAATAGGACTCGGCAGGACCTGGCATCCCCGCTGCTGGTTTTTCTCTTCCCCTCTTTGATACTTGCTGCTGTTTGGGGTCCCGGCTGCACCGCGGTGCCGGTCACTCCTGCCTGTGGTGGCCCCCCCAGTAGCTGGACAATCTCTCACCTTGGGGCCACGGTACCAATCCAGCCGTGGTCCGCTCTCCTGTGCCAAGCCTACACCGAGCCTCGGCCGTGCCAAACAACGGAGCACGTGGGGATGGCCCATCCAGCCTCCTGCCCCTGCCCGGGGATGTCCCCAGTGCCCGTGGGCAGCACTTGCCTGCACCTGCTGCCCACAGGGCCCAGCCAGCAGGAGGAGGGGGGAAAGCCCAGGGTGGAGCTTTCTTTTTTCAGATGTGTTGAGTTTGCATTGCTGCTTTTATTTTTTAAATACATATATATAGAGCTCATTAGATAAACTTCGTAAGGGTTTTTCTCTGCCTGTATTGGGGATACTGGCCTGACGCACCCAGGCTTTTTTTGAAAGGGGGATGATTCAGCCACACGAACAGCAAACCCCCGGAGTGGGGTTGTGTGTGCGTGTAGCACTAATCTGGGTGCAAAAGCAGAGCCAAGCGTGAGCAGAGCTGTGGGTTTCACTAGTGTTTCAGGTCAAATTAGGGATTCTAATAAGAAGAGAGAGGCGTGTGTATATATTTTTCTACAGGGACAATTCATTCAGGAGGTGTTTCTGGACATCAGGGCGGATCTGGGAGGTGCATGAGGCAGTCTGTTTAGTGGCTCCATTTTCAAATACTGTATTTTTTTAAAACCTTTGGATTTCCATCAGGAGAATTTTTATATTTCTTACCTTTCTCAGCCCACTCTGCCTCATGCCGTTTTTTTTCCCAGGAAAGGGCTGGTGTGGAGCTGGAGGCACATTTGACCTGGCTTTGTACAGCTCCTCTTTCACTGCAGCACTGCCAAGAAAACCCCTGCCAAAATATCCCCCTCCCCCTGCCCTGGGAATCTTTTTTTTTAATTCCTAAAAAAAAAATAAATTTACTGACTTGAATCAGGGGGTCCCTTGGGGTGGGGGGCTGTGTGTGGGGTGTCCCTGGGGCTGGGGGCGCAGCTGTACAGTGTTACCTGTGGGGCGAGGAGACCTGTGAGGCACTGCTGAATCAATCACCTGCTTTGGCCAGCCAGGGGTGGCCACTGGTTCCCTCCACTGGTCCCTGTGGAGTTCAATGTGGAGAAATGTGGTGGACAAGGTGAGCGAGAAGACAGGCCAGCACGCAGATGCAAGCTGATTTGTTTTTCTCGGTTTCAATGAGACCTGAATGTTTTATAGTGGGGTTTTTTGTAATTTTCTTTTTTTTTCTTTTCTTCTTCTTTTTTTTTTTTTTTTTTTTTTTTTTTTTTTTTTTTTTTTTGTAATGTCAGTATTGAGAGAAATAAAGAAGTATTTTGAAAAATACACTTTCTCGGTGTGTGTTGTGGTGGGAGGTGCCAGGCTGGGCGCCAGCAGACAGCAGGGAGAGGGCTCTGTGCCAGGGTCACTGCCACCGTCACCACCCTGGCCAGGTGCCCTTGGGGCTGGCAGGGAGAGGAAGAAGAAATCTGTTTGTTTTGGTACTTGGTGCACAGGACCTTCAGGGCCTGATAGCGAGGGGAAGGGAGTGAATACACAACTCCTTGGGTCACAGAATGGCTGCTCCCCACCTGCATGGCCTCAGCAGTGCTGACCACATTGCCAAGGATTGGCAGCAGTGCTGGTGAGGGCTCTGTCCCCTCAGGGCTCTGGGATGTGGCTGACATGGGCAGTGGGACAGTCAGTGAAGGGCTGAGAGAGCAGTGCCCATCTCTTCTCAGAAGGGCCGTGGAGGGGCAGGGTGAGAGCCAGAGGCATTACTGGCACCCACGGAAAATCCTGCTGATGCCTGGGAATGTTTGCACAGTGCTCCCATCAGGAGCTGTGCACAGGGACAGGAGGTGACAGCAAAACCCATGGGCCTTGTGCCCGTCACTCAAGTCCAGTGTGTGGGTCAAGAGGGTTTGATTTTGGGTGAGAACAGTCAATAAATTAAACTGGATGATGTTAATTGCTACATAGCACTGCATATAGTTTCCATGGCCACTAATATGCCCATCACCATCACAGGGTACCTTGCCTCTCTGAATTTGGGGATGTGAGCCCAGCTCTCCTTCGATTGCCATGTTAAGGAAGGATGAGCTTTGGTGAAGCCAGCCAAGCCCTGCACTGATAGAATCAGAGCTGGTTTCTGCATGTGACACCACCACACACCATCCTTCCTGCCCTCAAAGACTCTTAGGACAGATAAAGCCCGAGGTCAGGAACTGAACAACTTCAAGGGACTTTTATAGGGGTGGTCCATAGACAGAGCGAATGATGCCATTGCAGAATCAAAGCATGATTTGGGCTGGAAGGGACCTTAAAGCTCACATCATTCCTGCCCCATGGCATGGGCAGGGACACCTTCCCCTTGACCAGGTTGCTCAAAGCCCCATCAAATCTGGCCTGGAACACTTCCAGTGACAGGGCATCCACAGATTTTCTGAGCAACCTCTGCCGGTGCTTCCCACCCTGACAGTAAATAATTTCTTCCTGATATCCAATTTAAAACCCCCCTCTTTCACTTTAGAGGCGTTACTCCTGGTCCTGTCACTACATGCTTTCATCAAAAACCTCTCCCATGCCCCTTACAGGCTCTCTTTAGGCAGTGGAAGGGTTCAAAAGACTGATATCAAAACACAGGAAGGGCAATGGGGCATTGGGAAGCAGGGGACCTGGCATGGTGAAAGGTATGGAATAAGTGGTGGTTTCATATGGGACAGAGTTCATTTTCTCCCAGTAGCTGGTTCAGTGCTGATTTGGATTCAGTTGAGAATAATGCTGATAACACACTGATGTTCCAGCTGTTGCTCAGCACTCTTTACCCTAACTCAAGGCCTGCTCAGTTTCCCAGGCTCTGGCAGGGAGCAGGTGCACAAGAAAGCAGGAGGGGGCACGGCCAGGAGAGCTGACCCAAACTGCCCAGAGGGATGTCCCATGCCATAGAACACCATGCCCAGCGCATGAACTGTGGGGAGAATGAGTGGCTGCATGGTACTTAGTGAAAACTCACCAGCCCTTTTCAGTGCCCAGTGTGGGCCCAGAGGATGAAGTAACAAGAGATCTGAGCAGATCTTGTTAGGCTAGGTTTGTTATAAGCATTAGTTTAATAGTTTCTGGTCACAAAGTTGTTCTGCCTGCACTCCAGTTCCCGTTTGTGTGCTTAAGGGAGTACCTTGCTTGGTGTGTCCCCTCTGGTGGCATTGGTCCTCTGTGGGGCCTGGGTGAGCTGCTCTCTGCAGTAGTGGTTTATAGGTGTCTCCACATGCCCCATCTACAACATTCCTGAAAGTTTCCAAGAAGATGCACAGAGCTGGTGCCTAGGAACATAGTTTAGTGGTGGACTTGGGAGTGCTGGTTAAATTTTTGGACTTAATGACCTTAGAGGTCTTTTCCAACCTAAACATTCTGTGATTTGATGATACACATCTTTTAAATACCCCCAGGCATGCACCACGCCATGGCAGCCGGCTTCAATGCTTGACAGCACCTTCCATGAAGAAATATATCCTAATATCCAACTTGAACCTCCACTGGCACGACTTGAGGCCATTTCTCTTGTCCTGTCACTTGCTGTTTGGGAGAAGAGACGACTACACCTTCCTTTCAGGTCGCTGTAGAGAGTGATCAGGTCCCCTCTGAGCCTGTTTTTCTCCAGGATAAACACCCTCAGTTCACTCAGCTGCTCCTCACAGGACTTGTGCTCCAGACCCTTCCCCAGCTCCTTGCCCTTCTCTGGGCTCACTCCAGCACCTCAGTGTCCTCCTTTCACTGAGGGCCCCAGAACTGGATGCAGCACTTGGAGTGTGGCCCCACCATTGTCCAGCACAGAGGGGCAGTCACTGCCCTGCTCCTGCTGCCCACACCATTGCTGATACTTTCAGGATGTCCTTGGCCTCCTTGGCCCCCTGGGCACACCCAGCTCATGTCCAGCCACTGCTGACCAGCGCCTCCAGGGCCTTTCCCACTCAGCAGCTTTCCAGCCACTGTCCCAGCTGGAGCTGCAGGGGCTGCTGTGACCCAGGGACAGGAGCCAGCACCTGGCCTGGTTGAACCTCACACAATTGGCCCTGGCCCGTGGATCCATTGGTACAACAGAATCTCCATTTGTGAGACAAATCTGATACAAGCACTCAGCACTGCCATTCCCTCTGTATTTCGGGAGCCATCTGTTGGGAACTGTTCATAACTGCACCTTTGGCCTTTTTCCTTGGAGAGCCAGACTATGGCAGAAACATTTTCCTACATCTGCCTTCTTCCACAGAACCAGTCATAAAAAGGTTTGGGTTGGGAGGGGTATCAAAGCTCATCTCATTCCAAGTCCCCTGCCAGGGACTGGGACACCTTCCACTAGACCAGGTTGTTCAAAGTCCCATTCAGCCTGGCCGTGAACATTCCTAGGGATGAGGCAGCCACATCTGTAATTCCTTGCTGTCTTCCATCTTTGGAAGCCCTCCATCCCCCTGGGCTGGTAACAGTAGGCATCCTTTGAGGGAAGAGGGAGGAGCTTGGGGTACCTGGTGGTTCTACCTGAGACAACATGGAGAGGACTCAAGAATGTGGGAAGGAAAGCCTACCTTGACCATAGAGAGACAGGGAAGGGAATTGCAAAGGAAAACAATCACACAGGAGGGTTCTTTCAGAGTATTTGCTGCCCAGTCTCCAGTGGGGAGTTCCCCAGGCAAGGTCAGAGGGTATAATATTCCTGATCCTATGGCAAGCATGAAGCTGTGTCAGGGGAGATTTAGGTTGAAGAGGTTTTTCACCCAGAGGGGTTGAAGGGCTCTGGAACAGCTCCCCAGGGAAGTGGTTACAGCACAAAGCCTGACAGAGTGAAAGAAGTGTTTGGACAATGCTCCAGGCCCATGGTGTGTCCCTAGGGGTGTCCTGTTCAGGGCCAGGAGCTGTGCTCAATGATGGGTCAGGATGGGTCCATTCCAGCTGAGAGTGTTCTGTGATTCCATTTCTACAAGTGGCAAATCCAATGACCAGGACTAGAAGGGCCCTGCCTCTATCCTCCATCCCACACTGTGCACCCTAAAGTCATGGAGCTACACAGGGCAGAAAACATCCATATTTCAGGAGGGACAAAGGAGGTTTTGATGTCCTGTGCTCTGCCATGGAGCAGGTGCACAAGCAGCTGGGTGGGGGCATGGCCAGGAGAGCTGACCCAGACTGGCAAAGGGATATTCCATGCCATGGAACACCATGCCCAGTGTACCAGCCAGGGGGCCGAGGCAGGTGGGGTGTGAATGAGCAGCTGAGTGGGACTGATTTGCCAGCTGGGTTCAAACCTCCACAGGTGGGGAAATCCCTGGAGTAGGAACATCCATAGGGGCAGGAATTGTCAGTGAGGAGGGGATGCCCAAGGAAGAGGGGACAAGGATAGCCATGGAGAGAGGGCACAAATGTCCTGGGGGCTCAGGGGGAAGGGATGTTCTGGGGGTCAGTGCTGCCAATGGAGCAGGGATGCCCATAACGCATCCATGCCTGCCTGGAGCAGGATGGGGACCTGCTGAGAGCAGTCATTTGTGACTCCCTGGTGATTGGAGCACCTGCTGGGCCCAGAGGGCTTTGGGGTGGTGCAGCAGGGTGCCAGTCTCTTGGATCAGGGACCAGTCTCTAACCCCAACACTGTGGCCTGAGAGAGATCTCCCATCCTGCATCAAGCATGGCTGGACTATGGCTCCCATCAAGTCCAGTGGTCCTGATGGGGCCTGGCTGTAGGGGCTGTAGGGATGAAAGGGCTCTGGGGACAGATGGAACCCAGGGGGGCACAGGGAGGTGCTGATCAGGTCAGCAAAGGAAGGGGATGCCCTCAGCTTCCCCCTCGTTAATCCCACACCGTGCAGGGCACGCCTGAGCCAACAGCATCTTCTCTCCAGCACCTTTGGGAGCTGCCCAGTCCCCCCAGCAAGGATCTGGGCAGGGGAGGAGGTGCTG